CCCATTTTGGGGGTGCAACCCCTCCCATTTTTGGGGTGCTGATCCCCCATTTTTTGGGAGTGCTGATCCCCCATTTTTGGGGTGCTGCCCTCCCATTTTTGGGGTGCTGATCCCCCATTTTTGGGGTGCTGACTCCCCCATTTTGGGGGTGCTGATCCCCCGTTTTTTAGGGTGCAGCCCCCCCGTTTTGGGGGTGCAGCCCCTCCCATTTTCAGGGTTTAGTCCTCCGTTTTTGGGGGTGCTGCCCCCCCATTTTTGGGGTGCTGATCCCCCATTTTTGGGGTGCTGACCCCCCATTTTTGGGGGTGCTGCCCCCATTTTTGGGGGTGCTGATCCCCCATTTTCAGGGTTTAGTCCCCCATTTTTGGGGGTGTTACCCCCCCATTTTTGGGATGCTGACCCCCCATTTTTGGGGGTACTGATCCCCCATTTTTGAGGCTGCTGATCCCCCATTTTGGGGGTGCTGCCCCCCCATTTTTGGGGTGCTGACCCCCCCGTTTCCCCCCCCAGGAGAAGGTGGCGGAGCTGTCGGGGGTGTCCCCCCATTTTTGGGGTGCTGACCCCCCATTTTTGGGGCTGCTGATCCCCCATTTTTTGAGGTGCAGCCCCTCCCATTTTCAGGGTTTAGTCCTCTGTTTTTGGGGGTGCTGACCCCCCATTTTGGAGGCGCTGCCCCCCCATTTTGGGGTGCTGACCCCCATTTTTGGGGTGCTGACCCCCCCGTTTCCCCCCCCAGGAGAAGGTGGCGGAGCTGTCGGGGGTGCCCCCCCAGGATCAGCTGCTGCTCTGGGAAGGGACCCCCCTGGAGGATGGGACGGTGCTGGGGCAGAGCCCCCTCCCCGAATTGGCCACCCTGGAGCTCTCCACGCGCCTGCTGGGGGGTAATTAACGCCCCCCCTTAATTAACACCCCCCTAATTAACACATAGACCCCCCCAAACCCACTCTAATTGTTCTCCCCTCCCAGGGAAGGTTCACGGATCCCTCGCCCGCGCCGGCAAAGTGAGGGGCCAGACCCCCAAGGTGAGACCCCCACCCACCCCACGGGGGTTTGGGGACCCCCCTGGCATCCCCCTCCTGCCCCAGTGCCCACTGGGGCCCATCCCAGTGCCCACCAGTGCCATCCCAGTGACCCCAGTGCCATCCCAGTGTCCATCTCATGTCCATCCCACTGACCCCAGTACCTATCCCAGTGACCCCAGTGCCATCCCAGTGGCCATCCCATGTCCATCCCAGTGACCCCAGTGCCCACCAGTGACCCTAGTGTCCATCCTAGTGCCCCCCATACCCGCTGTGCCCACTGGTGCCTAGCCCAGTGCTCATCCCAGTACCCCCAGTGTCCATCCCAGTGACCCCAGTGCCCACCAGTGACCCTAGTGTCCATCCCAGTGCTCCCCAGTGACCCCAGTGCCCCCCTGTGCCCATCAGTGTCCATCCCAGTGACCCCAGTGCCATCCCAGTGCCCCTCAGTGTCCATCCCAGTGTCCATCCCGGTGTCCATCCCATGTCCATCCCAGTGACCCCAGTGCCCATCCCAGTGACCCCAGTGCCATCCCAGTGCCCATCCCAGTGCCCCCCAGTGTCCATCCCAGTGCCCCCCATACCCCCTGTGTCCCAGTGCCCAGTACCCCTGTGCCCCCAGTGCCCCAGTGCCCCATCCCCAGTGCCATCCCAGTGCCCCCATACCCCCTGTGCCCATCCCAGTGCCCCCCCCCACAGTGTGCCCCTTTGGGCCCCCTCCCCAACCATTTTTTTTTGGGGGGGGGTCTCAGGTGGCCAAGCAGGAGAAGAAGAAGAAGAAGACGGGGCGGGCCAAGCGGCGCATGCAGTACAACCGGCGCTTCGTCAACGTGGTGCCCACCTTCGGCAAGAAGAAGGGCCCCAACGCCAACTCCTGAGCCAAATAAAGCCAATTTTGGGTTCATTCCCCTCATTTTGGTGGTTTTGAGTTTTTTGGGGGCTCAGGGGAGTGCAGCACAACCGGCGCTTCGTCAACGTCGTGCCCACCTTCGGCAAGAAGAAGGGCCCCAATGCCAACTCCTGAGCATAATAAAGCCAATTTGGGGTTGATTCCCCTCATTTTGGTGGTTTGGGGTCTTTGATTTGGGTTTTTGGTTTTTTTGGGGGTCTTTGATTTGGGGTTTTGGAGGTTTTTTTGGGGTTTTTTGAGGGGGTTTTTGGGGGGTCAGGGGTGCAGCACAACTGGCGCTTCGTCAACGTCGTGCCCACCTTCGGCAAGAAGAAGGGCCCCAACGCCAACTCCTGAGCCCAATAAACACAATTTGGGGCCAATCCCCCTCATTTTGGTGTTTGAAGTCTTTGATTTGGGTTTTTGGTTTTTTTGGGGGTCTTTGATTTGGGGTTTTGGAGGGTTTTTTGGGATTTTGGAAGGTTTTTTTGGGGGGTCGGGGGGGTGTTGTACAACCGGCGCTTCGTCAACATGGTGCCCACCTTCGGCAAGAAGAAGGGCCCCAACGCCAACTCCTGAGCACAATAAAGCTAATTTTGGGTTGATTCCCCTCATTTTGGTGGTTTTCGGGTTTTTTGGGGGGTTTTGGGGTTTTTTGGGGGGCTCAGGGGAATGCAGTACAACCGGCGCTTCGTCAACGTGGTACCCACCTTCGGCAAGAAGAAGGGCCCCAACGCCAACTCCTGAGCCAAATAAAGTGAATTTTGGGTTCATTCCCCTCATTTTGGTGGTTTGGGGTCTTTAATTTGTGGTTTTTGAGGGGTTTTGGGGTTTTTTGGGGGGTCGGGGGGGTACGGTACAACCGGTGCTTCGTCAACGTGGTACCCACCTTCGGCAAGAAGAAGGGCCCTGATGCCAACTCCTGATCCAAATAAAGCCAATTTGGGGCCAAATCCCTCCATTTCCTTATTTTTCTTGGTTTTTTGGGAGGAGGAGTTGGGAACTCTTTTGGGCACACGCAGCTCAACCCCATGTTTTGTCACCGTCGCGCCCCCCCTTTGGTAAGAAAAAGGGTCCCGATGCCCAAACCCCCAAGTGCCCCCCCAAAACCTCCCCAATAACCCCCCTAAAACCCCCCCAATTAACCCCTAAAACGCCCCCCAAATCCCCCCTAATTCCCCCTCACGCCTCACCCGCCAGGGGGCGCCCTCGCGCTCCTTTTCCCGCCCTTTTCGTGTTTCCCGCCCTTTTCCGCCCTAAGCCCCGCCCCCTTCCCGGCGTGCCCCGCGCGCTATTTAAGGGCGCGTGAGGCGCCCCCGCGGCCATTTTGTCTCTGAGGGGACCGCGGGAGGTGAGTCCGGGCTCGGTCCCCTGCGGACCCTTCGGGGGCTCTGAGAGGCCTCTGAGGGATCTCTGAGGGCATGAGGAGGCCTCGGCAGCCGCTTTTCCCCTCCCCGGGCGGGCGAGGGAGCGCCCGGCAGCGCCGATCGCCTCAGAGCGCCGCCATTTTAGAGCGCCCGCCCTGAGGGGCTTCTGGAGGGGCCGGCGCTTCCCCGAGGGGCTTTCGGGGGCTTCTCGGGGCTCGGAGGGGGTGGCCGGGCCATGGGGGCTGCTCGGGGATGAGTCTCTCACAGACCTGTGCTGAGCACGCGCTGAGGAGTTTTAAGTTCTCTGAGGGCTCGTCCCGCCCCGGCCTGAGGTTCTAGTGCTTGATATTTAGTTTATTTGCGTTTTGTAACGCTTTCTTTTCTGTTTTGTTTTCAGGTTTTGAGGTTGTAGGATGGCGTCTTTGCGCGAGGTGAGCTTTAAACCTTCTTTTTAGTGTGTAAAAAGGCTGGATTTGAGGAAAAAAAGGGCAGCAGTGCTGCGGGGATGATCCACTGAACTCTCTCTTGCTGATGGTCTGGTGGAGAAGCTCCTGAACACGCTCTGAGTGGCACTGACACGAGTGGGGGGGTTTTAAAGCCCGGAGGGGGATTTAAACCATCGAGGGGGGGGTGAGACCCTCGTTTAAATCTCGTGGGGAATTTTAGAGCCCCCCCTTTGGGGGATTAAACCCTTGTGGGGAGGGGTTTAGACTGCTTTAAGAGGGGGTTAAAATCGCATAGAGAGGGTGGAAAACCCTCGAGGGGCAATTTAAATTCTCTTGGATGGGGGAGTTAAACCCACGCGGGAAGGTTTAGATCCACGTGGGAAGGGTTTAGACCCCCGTGGGAATCAGAGTTTGTCCCTTGGGGTGGTTTATTTGGGTCTCTTTGTCCCCAAAACACCATTTTAACGTTTTTTTCTCGCATTTTTAAGCCGTGGAACCGTCACGGGGGATACCCACAGCCCCTGTTCAGGTGAGCACCCTTTTTATGCCCCTTTTTTATTATGATTTTCACCTTAAAAATTTTGTGCCCCTTCCCTCCCCAGTGAGGAGCTAAAAAAGCTCTAAATTTCCCTTCCCCCCCGGTGGAAATTTTAGGTTGAATTCCCCCTTTTTTTGGGCTGTTCGATGAGGAGTGACAATGACAAGCATATGGCTGAGGGTCCCTGATGCCACGTGACCACTGAGAGCAGCTTAGGGGGGGTTAATTAGTTATTTAATAGCTAATTACTCAGAAATTAGTAATAGATCATAATTAGTTCCTTATTTTTCAGGGCTGGGGCAGCGGGAGACGAAAACGTTGAAGGACAGAGTGACTCAAAGTCACCCCCGGAGAGCCGTAAATCAAACCCAGAGTGACTGTGAGAACCCTCCAGAGGTCAGTGCCCCCCAAAACCTCTCCAGTCCCCTTCCAACACTCCCCAACCCCCTCCAATCCTCCTTCTAACCCCCCAAACCCCTCCAATCCCCTTCTAACCCCCAAACCCTTTTTAACCCCCCAAACTCCATCCAATTCCCTTCTAACCCTCGAGACCCCCAAACCCTCCCCAGTCCCCTTCTAACCTCTCCAAAGCCCCTCCAATCCCCTTCTAACCTTTCCAAAGCCCTCCAATCCCCTTCTAACCACCCCAAAACCCCTCCAATCCCATTCTAGCCCCCAAAACCCCTCCAATCCTCTTCTAACTTCCCCAAAACCCCTCCAATTCCTTTCTAACCACCCCAAAACCCCTCCAATCCCCTTCTAACCCCCCAAACTCTCTCCAATCCCCTTCTAACCCCACAAACTCCTCCAATCCCTTCTAACCCCCCAAACCCCCTCCAATCCCCTTCTAACCCCCCAAACCCTCCCCAGTCCCCTTCTAACCACCCCAAACTCCCTCCAATCCCCTTCTAACCCCCCCAAACCCCCTCCAATCCCCTTCTAACCCCCCGACCCCCAAACCCCCAAATCCGAAACGATGACACCCCGGGCTGGAGGACACGTCCGATGGCAGCTCCAAGTTACCAAAGCCCTGATCGGATTTGGGGAGGGGGTCAAAAACCCCCCTAACCCCCCCCTCCCCCCAACTTGTGGGGATCTGAGCTCTCCCTGACTCCCCTTTTTTCTCTTTCCTACAGATGTTCCAGTTGGGGATCCCCGAGGGGCCAGGTGAGTTTTTGGGGGTTGTAAATCACATGTGGTGGGCTTTGAGGGGTCCCAGGGATGGATTTTGGGGTCCCTTAGGGGTTATAAACACAACGTGGTGGGTTTGGGGGAATCAGGGGTGGTTTTTGGGGTTCCCCAGGGTTAAAAACACAACAGGGTGGGTTTGGGGGTCCTATGGCTGGATTTGGGGTCCTGGGGTGGAAAGGATTGCCTTCGGTGTGGGATTTTGGGGTGCTGGTGGTGGGTTTGGGGGGTCCTGACTGAGGGTGACCCCCACACCCCCCTTGGGTTGGTTTGAAGGGTCCCTCAGGGATTATAAATTCTCCCGTGGGGAGTTATTGGGGTCCTTGGGTGGGTTTTGGGGTCCTTTGATGGTTTGAAGGGTCCCTGGGGGGGGTTTTGAGGTGAGTTTGGGTGTCCCCCAAAGGTTTTGGGGAGGGGTCCCGGCCCCCCATGAGGAAAACCCCCCCATGTCTGACCCCCCCGGCGGGCCCAGGACCTGCCAAGGTGGAACCCACTGGTGCCCCCGGGGGGGACACGAAGAGAGCCAGTCCCGTGGGGACGGTCTGAGGGGGCCGGGGAGCTCCGGGAGGCTCCTGGGGATTTTGGGATGTTGGGGGCACACCTGACCCCCCCTTTGTTCCCTTTGCAGGTTCATTCTAGTGCTGACTCCTCCTCCTTCCATGGGTGGATTTTAGGGGGTCCCTCAGGGGTCATGAACCCTCCCACAGGTGAGTTTGGGGTCCTGGGTGGGGGTTTAACCCCCCCAGCGAGAAATTCTGGGGGTCCCTGGGTTGGTTTTTGGGGTGGGTTCTGGATGTCTGAGGGTGAGTTGAGGGGTCTCCAAGGACTTAGAACCCCCCTGGGGGAGTTTGGGGGGTCCCCTGGGTGGGGTTCAGGATTTTAGGAGGGTCCCATGGGTGGGGTTCAGGATCCTGGGGGTTGATTTTTGGGGAGGGGGGTCCCATAGGTGGGTTTCAGGATCCTGGGGCTTGATTTTTGGGGTAGGGGATCCCATGATTGGGTTTTAGGATGCTAGGGGTCAGTTTTTGGGGTGGGGGGTCTCATAGGTGGGTTTCAGGATCCTGGGGGTTGATTTTTGGGGAGGGGGTTCCCATGGGTGGGTTCTGTAGGGGGGTCCCGGCCCCCCATGAGGAAACCCCATGTACTGACCCCCGGCGGGCCCAGGACCTGCCAAGGTGGAACCCACTGGTGCCCCTGGGGGGGACACGAGGAGAGCCAGTCCCGTGGGACGGTCTGAGGGGCCAGGGGGCTCCTGGGGGGGATTTTGGGGGATTTTGGGATGTTGGGGGCACATCTGACCCCCCCTTTGTTCCCTTTGCAGGTTCATTCCAGTGCTGACCCCTCCTCTCTTTCCATGGGTGGATTTTAAGGGGTCCCTCAGGGGTCATGAACCCTCCCACAGGTGGGTTTGGGGTCCTGGGTGGGGGTTTAACCCCCCCAGCAAGAAATTTTGGGGGTTCCTGGGTTGGTTTTTGGGGTGGGGTTCTGGATGTCTGAGGGTGAGCTGAGGGGTCTCCAAGGGCTTAGAAACCCCCCTGGGGGAGTTTGGGGGTCCCCTGGGTGGGGTTCAGGATTTTAGGAGGGTCCCATGGGTGGGTTTCAGGATCCTGGGGGTTGATTTTTGGGGTAGGGGATCCCATGATTGGGTTTTAGGATCCTGGGGGTTGATTTTTGGGGTAGGGGATCCCATGATTGGGTTTTAGGATCCTGGGGGTTTATTTTTGGTGTAGGGGATCCCATGATTGGGTTTTAGGATCCTGGGGGTCAGTTTTTGGGGTGGGGAGTCCCTTGGGTGGGTTTCAGGACCTTTTGGGTCAGTTTTGGGGGGGGATCCCGGCCCCCCATGAGGAAAACCCCCCCATGTCTGACCCCCCCAGCGGGCCCAGGACCTGGCAAGGTGGAACCCACTGGTGCCCCTGGGGGGGACACGAGGAGAGCCAGTCCCGTGGGGACGGTCTGAGGGGGCCGGGGGGGCTCCTGGGAGGGATTTTGGGGTGTTGGGGGCACACCTGACCCCCCCTTTGTTCCCTTTGCAGGTTCATTCCAGTGCTGGCCCCTCCCCTCCTTCCATGGGTGGATTTTAGGGGGTCCCTCAGGGGTCATGAACCCTCCCACAGGTGGGTTTTGGGGGTCCTGGGTGGGGGTTTAACCCCCCCAGCGAGAAATTTTGGAGGTCCCTGGGTGGGTTTTTGGGGTGGGGTTCTGGATGTCTGAGGGTGAGCTGAGGGGTCTCCAAGGGCTTAGAAACCCCCTGGGGAGTTTGGGGGTCCCCTGGGTGGGGTTCAGGATTTTAGGAGGGTCCCATGGGTGGGTTTCAGGATCCTGGGGGTTGATTTTTGGGGTAGGGGATCCCATGATTGGTTTTCAGGATCCTGGGGGTCGATTTTTGGGGTAGGGGATCCCATGATTGGGTTTTAGGATCCTGGGGGTCAATTTTTGGGGTGGGGAGTCCCTTGGGTGGGTTTCAGGACCTTTTGGGTCAGTTTTTGGGGAGGGTCCCGGCCCCCCATGAGGAAAACCCCCCCATGTCTGACCCCCCCAGCGGGCCCAGGACCTGCCAAGGTGGAACCCACTGGTGCTCCTGGGGGGGGCACGAGGAGAGCCAGTCCCGTGGGGACGGTCTGAGGGGGCCGGGGGCTCCTGGGGGTCCTTTAGGGATTTTGGGGTGTTGAGGGCCCACCTGACCCTCCCTTTGTTCCCTTTGCAGGTTCATTCCAGTGCTGATCCCACCCCCACCAAGGGGGGGTTTTGGGGGGTCATGACCCCATTTTTGGGGCAGGATTCGAGGTCAGTGAGGGTGGTCCCACTTTAGGGGTCTCGGGTGGGGGGTTTTGGGGGTGACTCTTACCCTCTGGGGTGGGTTCTGGGGTTATGACCCCCCCACAGGGGTCATTGGGGGGGTCCCATGGGTGGGGGTGACTCCTCAGAGGTGGCTTTGGGGGTCCCATGGGTGGGGGTGACCCCTCAGAGGTGGCTTTGGGGGGGGTCTCATGGGTGGGGGTGACCCCTCAGAGGTGGCTTTGGGTGGGGGTCTCATGGGTGGGGGTGACTCCTCAGAGGTGGCTTTGGGTGGGGTCTCATGGGTGGGGTGACCCCTCAGAGGTGGCTTTGGGGGGTCTCATGGGTGGGGGTGACCCTCAGAGGTGGCTTGGGGTCTCATGAGTGGGGTGACCCCTCAGAGGTGGCTTTGGGGGTGTCTCGTGGGTGGGGTGACCCTCAGAGGTGGCTTTGGTGGGGGTCTCATGGGTGGGGGTGACCCCTCAGGAGTCCCCTACAGGGGTTTGGAGGACCCTGGGGTGGTTTTGGGGGGGGTCCCATCATGATTTTGGGGTAACAATTCCCCCCCCCCACCAGGGGGTTGTGTTTGGGGGTCCTGGAGTGGTTCTTTGGGGGGTCCTGGGGGTGTTTTGTGCCCCCCCGGGGGTGATGACCTCATGAATCTCGTTCGGCTGAGGCTGCTGCTGAGGACACTTGGCCTGACCCGGGCTGGGGAGCCCTTCCCCTCCTTTTTTGGGGTCCCCAAAATTCCCAGAGGACCCCCCTGACCCCCCCAATTTGTGTCTCTTCTCCCCCCCAGGTGACTTCAGGGACCCTCAGGGACAAGGTATGTAAATTAAGGGGGCGTGGCTTGTAAGGATGATGTCATCATCCTGATGACGTCACCCGGGTGGGAAAGAGGGCTCCCCGATTTTGGTGATGACGTCACTAGCTCACTTTGACCCCACCCCCTGAAAACACCCGAACACCTGAAAAATTGGGGAGGGGGGGACACCGAGAGGGGTCTGAGGGCAGAGGAGACCCCCCTGAGACCCCTCCCCCCTCTGCTGTCCCACAGGTACCGGGGAGACCCCCAGGAGGGGCTCAGGTGAGTCTGGGGGGGTGCTCTCAGAGGGGTTTTTGGGGGGTGCAGGGGGGGTTTTGGGGTCCCCCCCGTGCCGAGGATGAGGCGATACCGCCCCAGACTGAGCCCCGTGACTGAGTGGTTCTCCCTGAGGCTCTGGGGGGGTCCCAGGGGGGGTTTTTGGGGGGCTCTGAGGGGTTTTGGGGGGATCAGGACTGAGTGGTTCTCCCTGAGGCTCTGGGGGGGTCCCGGGGGGCTTTAGAGGGGATCCTGAGGGGGTCTGGGGAGTTTTGGGGGCCCTGAGGGGTTCTGAGGGTCTCTGGGGGCCCAGGGGGGTTTGGGGGGCCATGAGGGGGTTTGGGGGGGTCAGGTCAGGGCTGAGTGGTTCTCCTGAGGCTCTGGGGGGTTTGGGGGCCCTGAGGGGGGTTTTGGGGGTCCTGAGGCTTGGGCCTGGGGCCCAGGGGGGTTTGGGGGCCATGAGGGGTTGGGGGTCAGGTCAGCTGAGTGGTTCTCCCTGAGGCTCTGGGGGTCCCAGGGGGTTTGTGGGGGTCCCTGGAGGGGGCTTGGGGGCTAGGTCAGGACTGAGTGGTTCTCCTGAGGCTCCGGAGGTTGTCCCAGGGGGTTTTGAGGGGCTCTGAGGGGGTTTGGGTGGCCCTGAGGGGGTTTGGGGGATCAGGACTGAGTGGTTCTCCCTGAGGCTCTGGGGGTCCCAGGGGGTTTTTGGGGGGCTCTGAGGGGTTTTGGGGGATCAGGACTGAGTGGTTCTCCCTGAGGCTCTGGGGGCCCAGGGGGTTTTGGGGGCCCTGAGGGGGTTTGGGGGATCAGGACTGAGTGGTTCTCCCTGAGGCTCTGGGGGCCCAGGGGTTTTGGGGGCCCTGAGGGGGTTTGAGGGTCTCTGGGTGGGTGAGAAAGGGGAAGGTGGTCCTGGTTTTGGGGAAGGGCATTTAGGAGTTTTTGGGAATCCTTGGGGGATTTTAGGATTTTCTGGGGGTTGGAAGAAGGTCCTGAGTTAGGGAAGGAGTTTTAAGGGGAATCCTAAGTGGGTGGGGATTTAGGAAAGGGGTTTGGGGGTCCCTGGGTGGGATTTTGGGGGTTTCGGGGGGGGGAATAGGGTTTAAGAGGGGGTCCCATTGGGGGTTTTGGGGTTCCCACTTAACCCCCCACCTCAATTCTTCCCACAGCTCCTCGTGGATCTGCTGCTCCATCGACCTGAATAAAATAAAAATCTCTATTTTTATAAAATCCAAGGATTTTGTGCTGATTTTGAAGGGGTTGGGAAGAACCTCGGGGTTGGGGGTGGGGGGATAATTCCTCATCCTGGGACATCCTGGAATTAACCCCCTCTGGGGTGTTGATTCCACCCCTTTCCATGGAAAAATTCCCCCCAACCTGGACTTTCCCAGAGGGTTTGTTGTGCCCCTGGCACTTAGCCCTGTTGGATCCCACGGATCCCAAGGATCCTGCCTGTCCCAATCCTGCCACAGAACCACCCCCCCACCAGGAATCCCAGGAAAAATTCCCCTCGAGTTGGGAAAAGGACAGGGAGGGATCCCTGGGGGATTTTGGGAAGAACAGACCGAACTCGGGGGTGTGAATTGGATTTATCCCCCGTTGGAATCAGAGCAGGGGGACAGGAAGTGAAATAAATCCCAAAACACCTTTTCCAGCCCTTCCCAGATCTCGTCTTTATTCCTGATTCTTTCCCTCCTT